CAAGTCTACCACAGTCAATTGTGCAGGATATTTGTACAGTTATATGCAACATGCCAACAATTCAATTACAGTAACGAAGTAAATACGTTTCACAGAACAGATATAAGCACTGATATATCATGAGTTATGCAGAGCTACAAACTGGTAACTAACCTGTTTTCAAGTCTGAGTGTCCGGATTACAGAGGCAACAGTACATCGGCTTAGATTAGGATGAACCCTCTGTCCAGCCTCTCTCATCGTCAAACCATGGTTGATAACATTTCATTTCATTAGAGAGTACTCTTCTTTCTCCTCTCACTCTCAGCCCAGCTCTTCCTCTTCCTCTTCCTCTTGCTCATGCTTAATTATTGCTTCATTATTGTAAGAAAGTACTCACCTGTGGTCTTTTCATCATGTTAACATCCTGATTGATGAGGCAACAATTATGCTAACACGTGTTTGGTCAGGTGGAACGTGTTTCTTGATCATTGGTCCGTGTGTGAGGCATTTTGAATATCAGTGTTTTAAACCTGCTAACACGTGACTTTATGTCAGATTCCTGCGTCTTACGTGGAGAAACGTGTGCAGTGGTTTGCAAAAAGTGCCATGTTGATTCGCAAATTGTGTGAAAAGCTGAAAACGTGTTTAGAGTTTTGGAGATTTGAGCCGATGTTTTGCTCTTTGAGTGTCAGTTAAAATAATTTGTCCTTTATGTAGCATTTTAGTGTGTTAGCAATCGAGAAAAACGTGTAAAGGTAAGGGGTCACTCCTATTGACAATGAGATCACCATCTACTTACACGGATGCTAAATGTTATTTTTAGGTTTACCACTTTACTCTTAAGTAGCTGGAGAGGAAGTTATGGAGACCAAATCAGAGTTTTACGTGGCAAGAAACACGACTGCAAATAAATGGTTATGTTGGTCCGTGTCTGTTTGATGCGTAATTAGGGAAACTGTTTTCACAGGACAAATGACTATTTATCGACTCCAGCTCCAAACCAAGCAGTGATGGGAACATTATACCTGTTTTTGCACCATGCTATGACATGCGAGGAAGTTTATATATTATCAACAGCGATTTAGAAAATTATTACTATTTATTGAGATACAAAATTATACAATTTTTATTGTGTTCCTCTCAAACCCACAAGACTTTAATCAAACAGCATTTATTATTTATTGCTGTGAGACATACATCAATATAAACAAAGTCAATCTCAAAACCAGCTTTTACGTTTTTTCACTGTTTCAATAATCATCAACACGGTTCCTTTTGTCAAAAAACCTGTAAATACACAAAAGGTAAAAGAAGTTGGCTGAATCAGATTAGTATAAGTGAACTCTCTCCTGGTACAAATCTCTAGGTTTATGTTCCAAAAGAATCTCTGCTCAAAATTCCATAATTACCTTCAGTGCTCCACTTTTCAACAGAACTATCGATATCACAAAGTAAATGTTCTTATTCTTAGGTATCGTACCTGACATGGGGCGTCCTGCAGGAGAGGGTGATGACGCGCTCGTACGGATCCACGACTCCAGAAGAGGCGGGCGAGAAGTTCAAAGACTCTCAGTTCTTGGTGTTCATGAACCGGATCCTGGCTCTGACCGTGTCCGGGCTGTGGTGCCTGATGTTCAAGCAGCCTCGCCACGGAGCGCCCATGTACAAGTACTCCTTCGCCTCGCTCTCTAACATCATGAGCAGCTGGTGCCAGTACGAGGCCCTGAAGTACATCAGCTTCCCCACGCAAGTCCTGGCCAAGGCCTCCAAGGTCATTCCCGTCATGCTCATGGGGAAGATCGTCTCCCACAAGAGCTACGAGTACTGGGAGTACTTCACGGCCGTGCTGATCTCGCTGGGCGTCAGCATGTTCCTGCTGTGGAGCACGCCCAGCAAGCAACCGTCCACCGTCACCACCTTCAGCGGGGTCGTCATCCTCATCGGCTACATCGTGTTCGACAGCTTCACCTCCAACTGGCAGGACAACCTGTTCAAGTACAAGATGTCGTCGGTGCAGATGATGTTCGGGGTGAACCTGTTCTCCTGCCTGTTCACCGTGGGCTCTCTGCTGGAGCAGGGGGCCTTCTTCGACTCGGTGGCCTTCATGACGCGCCACTCGGAGTTCGCCTTTCACGCCGTGTTGCTGTCCGTGTGCTCGGCGTGCGGCCAGCTCTTCATCTTCTACACCATCAGCCAGTTTGGTGCCGCGGTCTTCACCATCATCATGACCCTGCGACAGGCCATCGCCATTCTGCTCTCGTGTTTCCTCTACGGTCACGCAGTCACCATAATAGGTGGATTTGGTGTTGGGGTAGTTTTCTTGGCACTTTTCTTACGGGTGTACGCACGTAGCCGCATGAAGTCAGGCCGGAGGTTAGCGGCGCCGCTCGGACAGAAGGTGTAGCACTCCGGAGTCTCGCGAAACTGGGAACTGAGACCACGTTTTCTGTGGTGCTTTTTGGTCTATTTGTGTGTATCTATTGTTTGTTTTTTAAATGTTCTTTTCCATGTTTTTTTCTTTTTCCTTAGCAATGGAACAGAAAGGGATTCTGCAGTTTTGACTCTTACACCAAGTTGACCCCCAGGGGTCCATGTGATTTGTCAGGTCAGCAGTCACAGAAGTTTTGAGTGCCTGTAAGATTGTCTTATACACGAGACCCAGACCAGGAACTTTGCAAACTGCCTCTTCACCTCTTTCTCTCTTTTTTCCAAAAACACCGTACGTGGCTTGTGCAGCCGATTACAGGTCACTGTGACCCTGAACATGTATGAGCTGTCTGGCTAAGCATTACGTTATAAGCGGTTATTATGTTGGTTGAAATCTGAAGCCTCAATGCAGGATGCCACTAAATCCTCTGAATCCTACACTCTGATCCTTTTAAACTTTATCCCAAGTATTTGAACACGTATTATCTGTTGAGTTATCTTTCAGTCGCAATAGCCAGATGCTTATCTCACAGTCCTCCATGTTGGAGAGCAGGGGCCTTTATGTGTCTTAATGAGGGATTTTATCTTGTAAAGCTGCAAACAGCCGGAAACATCATTTTAAGGTTTATTAACATGTTCCACATGCTACCAGCTTTAAGAGAAGGTGTTGAACAACAGTTAACGAAGAGCGCACGACTTACAAACGGTTTCCTTTTACCCCGACATCGCTGAACCAGATGCTGCTGTGGGTACTTTTTTGCACAGCATTATTTTAAGATTTTCTTTGCTGTTGTCTCGACACAGATCTTACTTTATGTTTTAACTTGGAGCTAATAAGTCTTGTAAATATATCTCTTAGTCATCGTTTATTTCCAACTTGTCTGTTGTGTACTTTTGTAAAAGGACTGCTTCATGTGTTTTCACCGTTGCATATGAATGTTCGGAAGATGATGATGATGATGATGATGATGATGATGATGATGATGATGGTCGTTTCCATCAGAAGGATGTGAAGATAATGTCAGCCCAGGAAGGAATTTGGAAGAACAGAAAAGCTTACAAAGGAAATGCAATGTTACTGGTACCTTGTTTTTATCATTCTACTTTTCCCTCTGGTAACTGGATTAATAATAAAAACATATTAAATTAACTTAACACTTTGAAATGAAGTATTTTATTGTAGTATTTCACATTGTTTGTGGATTCACCTCACGCTTACTGCTGTTTGCTTTGAAAATGACCCAATAACCTTTTTTTATGTATCATTTTTTATGCACATTTTAAATTTGACCTGATGGTGGGACTATACTAAAAGTCAGAGGATTAACAAATTCCTTAGGGTTCCTCCTCTGAGACTGGGTAAAACATTTTATGGCAATCCACCGAGATGATGTTGAGAAGTGTTTAGTTTAGCCAGACTTCGGTATGACTGATAATGCTAATTTGCAATGCTAAATGTGGCTAAAATCAGGAGCACAGACGTAAGCATTACACCCAAATGTCTCCCCTTAAGTGTCACATTTTGAGATGGTCTGGTTATTTCTATACACAGACCAATCATTTTCAATCTCGGAGGAATTTTCAGTGCCGTTTTCCAGGGCGTAAAGGGGTTTCTAAATAGTTGGGTGTCGTCTGCAAAAGGTCATGATATCCCTTCCTCTCTTTCCAGTCTTATCAAGAAAAATGTTATTTTCGAAACGTCGCTGCTCTTTGCACACTGATTCATAATGAAGACCACTGTAATGATTCACTGAACATCAGAATGAAGAGCGTATTTGACTGAATTGTGTGAAAATGTTTCCCCCTGTTGTATTGATCTCACAGCTGCTCGATGGGGGAATTTCCCCGAACATCTCATTTCACAACGTCCTACACCCCACCGGGTTTGGAGCCGTGCGTCACGATGTGAGCGTCTCCAGTCCTCTTTTCAGATCATTCAAAAGGACAAACTATTAAAGATATGTGGAGATGAGAGGCCGCAGACGTGCAGACCCCCGGTTTCAGCCCCAACAACCAGTCACTTCGGGATCTCGCTCTGACTGCTGGGATGGATGAGTGTTTTTTATCGTAACTCGTATTCGCAAGAGCTGACATTTTCGGGCATACGTCGGGAGATTCTAGAAACAATTTTAGTTTTGTTAATACGTCACAGAGTGGCTGATATGGTGGAGGAGTCCTGGTTTTGTCAAAGGCGGGAAAGTTTGACATTTTGTTTCGTACATAACTTTCTTGCTGAGAGTTAGATGAGAATAGTAGATTAATGGGGATCTATTATGAAAAATCCACTTTTTCATGTCTGTTATACATCAACTCTGTGTAAAGAGATTCTGAAAGTTTCAGGAAAAAAGATTTGCTCACTTTTTGTCCTCATCCATTTATATAAAATCCTGTCTGAAAATTAGCTGATCAGAGTTAGGCCACATTATGATGTCATTAGTGATGTGTCGGTCGCGAACGAGCCGATTCTTTTGAACGGCTCTTTGATATGAACGAGGGGAACCGACGTTCGCGACCGACACATCACTAATGACATCATAATGTGGCCTAACTCTGATCANCATGTGTTTCGTACAAGTTTCAGGGGGCGGTCTATTCTCACACACACACACACTCACACACACACACACACACACACACACACACACACACACACACACACACACACACACACACGTGATAGTGGGGAAACGTCTGCTGTGTCATTCAGAAACATGCTGAAAATTACAACTCTTTTGGACACCTTTAACGCCTCTTTAACTTGACCGCTTTCTTAGTTGTGTTAGGTATTCAAATCATTTGCATTAAAGAAAATACTTTGAATCCATGTGCAAGAACACACTTCATAATGAAGATTAATTAGAACATATATCTTTTACATTTTATATGTACACCATTTTAGCTTCACAACAGTCTATGTTCACAACCTAGAAACAAATGTGGCAACAAAAACAATTGACATTTTAACATTTATATTTAAATGATTCCTGAACAAACTCAATCACATGTTTAAGATAATTTGCTATGGATGCAGAGTTCGAGAAGCTATTAATTTCTACAAAATCGTATTGCCTATATCTGGCCATTTACAGTAAGGTTAACACTTCAAACGGAGTCCGCAATTAGTTTAAAATACATTTGTTTTTAAAAATAGTGCAATACTCGCAAAACACAATCTTGGTTAGACAGGGTGCAGATGTCTGGAACCGAAAGTCCACACAGTAAAAGTGCCTAAATATTAATGATCAATAGTGTTTTTATATTTGCAGCAAAAGAGAAACTGAGGAGAAAAAGGTGAAAAAATGCATAACTGACACATAGGAAATGTTCTTATTGGTGACGTCTCTGTTTGTTTCACCTGATGAAAAATGCCCTGGTTCATTTCATCAAGAGTCAGCACAGGCTTCCCTTATACAATGAAAGGTTCATGTGGTGCGACTAGAAAAGACATCCTGTGGAAACATTTGACTCCTGTGTGTACATGTGTTCGGTGTGTGTGTGTGTGTTACTTGGTGGGTTGGTGTGTTACATTCACTTACAGTGACACAGTTCTTGTGACCTTGAGTGTCCTGTCGCCTCTTCTCTCTGTGATTTTGGCTAAGTGATACAAAAAGGCCAAGAAATCTGTACAAATGTTTCCTACTCTTCCTGTGTCTGTGTGTATATTTTATAGTTACTTTGTGACAATGTATATTAGTCTGTTAGTTATCCAGGACATTTACTTTGCAAGATGTCAGAAAAAAGTGAACCCACTTTGTTGGGCTCATGGTGTTACTTCTCATATTACCACAGCAATTTGTAGATAGCCTACTAGAGACAAAAACATGAGTATAACACCCACACAGTGTAGGAAGGAAGCAAGATGAAGAGAATTAAAGAATATATCGTAAAGTACGCAGAAAGCCAAAAAAAAAGATTTCAGACGAGGTGTGAGAGAGTCACACACGGTCACACTGTGTTTGTGTTCCACATGTACAGTAAAGGAGTGCGGGGGTGGAGGATAAAGGTTAGAAAGGTGTCCCTGCTAGTGGTTTGAACCCCAAAAACTAGTGATAGCAGAAGTTCAACAAGGTAAATAGGTTTTTTCAGTGTACTCCTGATGATAAGATTGATAGCAAGCACTTATAGTTTAAAATAAGTAATAAACTAACGCTGCCTGCCTGCTAACTTAGCTTAGCACAAAGACTGGAAACAGCTAGTGTTGCTCTGTCGAATAGTAATGGCTCGATCTGGCCTGTTTAAAGCCTCAGAACCAATACATGTGTTTAGTGGGTTCAAATGACATTTGTGTCTTTAGTCTCTATTCTCACTACAAAGTTTATTATCAACTCATTATAGGAGCTGAGGTTGAGCTTCAAAAAATCCACCTCATAGCCTTGCCAACAGAGCCAAGAAGATTGAAAAATGAGATGCCAAAGAAGTCTCCAGTCTGAGACAACGCTTAAAGGTCCCCTATTATAGTGTTTTTTATCAATATATTATAGTTCTCAGTTATATACAAAACATGTCTCTGAAGTGTTTGGCTCCAGATACCAAAGAGATCATTGCAGAATTCCATAATCCCCTCTGTTTCAGGCCGGTTTCAAAAGTGCTGATTCTGTGTC